CGCCTTCACCCTCTCCCTCGCCCCTTCCCCTCTCCCCACGCGGCCCGCCGCCACGGGCTGCGCTCTCTCTCTTTCTCTCTTTCTCCCTTTCCCCCTTTCTCCCTTTCTCCTTTCTATCCTCATTCTCTTCCTCTCTCTCTATCTCCTCTCGTCTCTTCTCTCTCTCTCTCTCTCTCTCTCTCTCTCTCTCTCTCTCGTCACTCCACGATCCTCTCTCTCTCTCCTCTCTCTCTGACCTCTCTCTCTCTCTCTGACACCTCTCTCTGTGATCCTCTCTCTCTTCTCTCTTGACTCTCTCTCTCTCTCACAAGACTCTCTCTCTCTCTCACTGACTCTCTCTCTCTCTTCACTGACTCTCTCTCTCTCTCCTCTCACTGACTCTCTCGCTCTCGCTGACTGACTCTCTCCTCTCTCTCTCACTGACTTCTCCTCTCTCTCACTAACTCTCTCTCTCTCTTACTGACTGACTGACTGACTCACTCACTCTCTCTCTTCTCTCTCCCTCTTCTCTCCTTCTTCTCTCCTTCTCTCTCCTCCTTGTCTCCTCCGTCTCTCCTCTCTCTCTTCTCCTCTCAATCTCTCTCATTCCTCTCCCTCTCTCCTCTCTCTCACCACATTCCTCTCATTCTCCTCCCTTTCTCTTCCTCGCTTTTTATCTGATAAGTAAATTCCAAAAAGACAGTGTATAGCCAACCCAAAGGGATGTGTTGATTTTTAGTTAAAAGGTAAAACAAGAAAACGGGGAAAAAAGGGAGGAAAGAAGTGTATCCCCCTTCCTCTCCTTTCTTCCATCCCCAGCCTCCCTGTCTCCCTTTCTCTACCTTTCCGCCCTCCCCTTCCTTTATTCCCCCTTTTCCATCCTATTCCTCTCTTTCCTCCCTACCTACCTCCATTCCTCCCCTCCCCTTATCCCCATCCCATCCCTCCCTTTGCCTTCTTTCCTAGCTCTCATCCCTCTCCCTTCCCCCTATCCGTCTTTTTCTCCATTCTCCTTCAATCCCTTCCTCCCCTTCTCTCTCTCCTCTCCCTCTCCTTTCTTCCCTCCGCCTCATCCTTCCCCTTCCCTTCTTTTTCTCTTTTTCCCTTCCCTCCCCTTCTCCTTCTCATCCTTCCCTCACCTTCCTTCCCTTCCCTTCTCCCCCTCATCCATTTTCCCCTACCTTTTCCCCCTTCTCCCTTTTTTCTCTCTCGCCCCCTCGCTCTTTCTTCCCTTCTCCCTCTTATGCCCTTCTCCTCCCGTCCCCCTCATCCCTTCCCCTTCTCTCCTCATCCCTCCCCCTCCCTTTATCTCCTTCCCTCTCTCCCT